GCAATTGATTATAATCAAATGAAATTAAGAATTTTAGCTAATTTTACAAAAGATCATCATCTCATTGAATTCTTTAAATCAAATATTGATATTCATAAACTTATTGCAGCACATTGGCTTAAAAAGAATGTAAATGATATCACTGATGGTGAAAGAAGAAAAGCTAAAACAATTGTGTATGGGTGTATTTATGGGATTGGTCCTTTTTCATTGGCTGACCAACTTCATATTTCATTAGATGAATCTAAAACATTTTTAGAGTCTTTTCTTGACCAATTCCCATCATTTAAAAAATGGAAAGAAGAAATTATTACCAATGCATCAACAACAGGTTTTGTACATACTATTAACAATAGACGAAGAAGAATAAATAATTTAACAGATTCTAGTGATAAAAAGACACTTGCAGAATCTAAACGAATTGCAGTTAATTCTCCAATTCAAGGTACTGCTGCTGATATTATCAAAATGTGTATGATTGAAATATTCAAAAAAATACATTCAACTTGGTTAGGTGTTCAACTCTTATTAAATATCCATGATGAAATTGTTTTAGAAGTACCTGATCATTTACTTGATGAAGTTTGTGTCACATTAAAATATTTGATGGAACATATTGTCCAACTTGAAGTTCCTCTTGTAGTTACTGTTGAAACAGGAAAGAAATGGGGTTCTCTTCATCCTTACAACTTTAATTAACTCTTTATTATAACTATCTATTTTATCCAATACATACTTGAAAATAAATACTTTTTTAACAATTTTTGAATACAAATCATTATTATTATAAATTCAACCAACTTAATCATGTCATGAAGTGTATTCACTAATGTCATTATTAATGTTATCATTATTAAAACTGGTCAGTAATACTATCAAACATAAAAATGGTAGTTAAACATTTCAACAATAATTTCAACAATACCATTCATCATTAATAAAAACAAACATATTTATTGTCATAAGGTAATCTTTGATTAACAAATAAACACTAAAAGTCGAGTCATTCGTTTAAGATAACACAAAAAATACATAGATGTTTTACATGAAAATTAACTAAAAGAAAGAGAATATAGTCTAAAAGAAATAGAAAACATCAAAAAAAAAAACTTTATTAAATTGATATTTTGAAAGACATAATAAGAAACAATACTACAAAAATACGAACTAAACATTCCTTTGAAAAAGAACACCATCAACTAACTTTAATAACAATAGAATGAATTGTTATAGAA